TTCAAGATACAACTCAAAAGCTTGGTTGTTTTATCAGTTATCCTATGAAAGGGTTTTGGTGTTTTAAATTTTAACTAAAATTCTCCACTGGTTACATTTTGATAATTATAACTTCTCACTGTGCCCAAATCGAAGAGTTATATTCATGCACAGAAGTTATCCAAAGTAGTACTCTCGATAGGTAATTATTATTATTATTTTATTATTTTGGTGAAAAGGGAAATAACATAGAGAAACAATTAAAGGCGGGCAAAATGCCTGAAATTACAAAGGCCAGGAGAGCATAAGAGCGTAACCCCAGCTACATCTGCAACAAGTATGTATATAATACATGTCGTAACGATTTTGTGATCATTAGATGAATTTGAAAATAAAAATAAATCATCATCGATCTTTTTTAGTTAAATGTGATTAGTCACTTATTAAAATTTATATTTTAATAAAAATTTTAAAATTAATTAATACTTTATCCAAAAAGATAATTTTTTAAGTTTACGAAAATAGTTTGGATTCAAAAGTTAATTACACCTAGAGAAAAATTAATGCCCCCATAGCACCGTTTAAAGTGGTATCAATTAATTATATATTATTCTTTAATTATGACTAAATGATCTTAATTTTGGTATTTAAAATTAATTTTTTTATTATCTTTATTGTAGTAAAAAATATTTTTAGTTGTTCGTTTAAAAAATAAATAGGAACTTTGCATAGTAAAAAATCCCTAAAAATATTCAAATACTCTGACAATATTAAAAAAAACTTTTTCATCTAAGAAGTTTTTAAGAATCACTACTCGAAAATTTGAAAAATCATATTCTCAGCAGTTCATATTTATCATCAATATATATATTTAATAAGCATAAAATATGATATATATATATATAATTTAAAATCAAATAATATTTTCTAAAAAATTCATTTCTTATTTTATTTATTAAAAAGATGAAAAATCTTTATAAAAAATTATCCTAAATGCTCTGATATATTATAAGCATTTTAGATAAATTTTCTTACCTAGATATTCTTAAAAAATCACTACTCAAACTTCTTTAGGATCTCATTCTAGAAATTTGATTTATATTTATTATTATTGTTATTTTTTTTTAGTATGATGTACATGGATTAATTTATGATGTTATTGCATTATATAAAAGTTCATTTTTAGAAGTGAAAAATAAATGAGAATGTTTCGTATTGAGAATCATTGTAGATATTTCAATTTTTCAACAATATTTAAAAAAAAATCTCTCACTTAGAAAATATTCAAAAATTACTATTTGGATTTCCTTAGGTCCCATCATCGAAAACTCTGTTACATTCAAGATTATGTAGTGCCAAGAATAAGTGCAAGATGCATATGAAAAAAAAAAGTATTATACATATTTTAAGAAAATATATTACCTATCTTACTTATGTTATATTTCTTCATTACTCATTTTAATTTTGTATTAATCCCTAATTATTTCACCATTACTATTAAAAAATTTTGAAAAGAACAAAGTAAGTAAAATATTTTATTGAAAATTTTTCTAGACACTCTGAAACTTTGGTAGTCTTTTAAGAAAAATTTTCTCACTTAGGGATTTTATAAGAATATCTACTTGAACTTCCTTAAAATCTTATCCTAAGAGATTATGTTTACTTTTTCTTTCTCATTTAATTTTATTCTAATCCTAATTCTAATTTTTTAATTTCTATTATTTTTTATTGAAAATAAAAAATAGTTAATCATAATATTCAAGTATCATTGTGTTAATTTCATTATAAAAAAAATGATCTTTTCTTTTCATTATTTTCCTTTTTTATATTATTAAAATATCATTTAATTATAAATATAAATTTAGGAAAATAAATGAAAAATATTTTGTATCAAATACTTTCCTAAATACACCATTACTTTAGTAATATTTTTTAAAAAAATATTTTCTTGTAGAGATTTTAAGAAATCACTACTCGAACTTTTTTAAAATCTCATCGTTGAAAAATTTTATTATTATTATTATTATTATTATTATTATTATTTGTTTTGCATAAATCTAAAGTGTATAAAAAATAAAATGTGCCAAACATAAATTAAAATATCAAAGATTAAATTAAAACAAGCATAGGAATCCAACCAATAAGAAAATTAAAAATGTATAAAATTAAACTTGCAATTAAACTTAAAAAATATAAAAATATATGCTTAGACATGATTAAAATTAAATATATATGAAAGTAAATCCTTATTGGGAATGAACTTTATGCTTTATATTTTAAATTTTCATTTATTATAAATTTTTAACTCAAAAAAATTACCTAGAACTATCCCATTTAAAATTAACAAAAGGAATGCAAAGGATATGCCCCAATGTCTTGGCTTTTTTTTATTTACATTTTAAAAATTTATTTACTATAAAATTTCAACTATAAAAGATTGTATGAACCTATCTAAGCAAATAAAAGGAATGCAAAAGATATGGCTCCCACATATTGGCTTTATATGTTTATATGATGTTATTATCATGTCGTCGTTTCACTAAAAAAAAGGATCATTTTTTGTACTACATTATCAGTAAATAGAAAAAAAAATTGAAGGTTTAAAATTTCTTGTAACCAAGAGGCATGCAGCAGAACCTAAAACTATGCAATTGTTGGGATTCTAAACTCATGCAATTAAAGACGATCATGCAAGAAATGAAGACAAGACTTCAAGCTTCTGTAAAATCGACACACCAGGACAAAAATCATAAAACCAGCTTTAAGAATGAAAAAATATAAACAGTCCATGTTTCTGCCTATTTGGCAATTGCTCTTCTGCTAAAATAAAATCCTATGATCATGGAGACCAACCACCATCTTTTGTGGTAGAAAGGAGACTAAAACCTTCCCAAGGAATCTTCCACATGAACGGCTACCATGCAGAAAAAGCAAAACCATGCAAACAAAAAAAAATGAAGCCTTAAGTACACGCGGCAGTCCATGCAGAACAATAAACAACAAACAGTGACCATTTGAAGCTTTAAGCTTCGAAGAACAAGCAAGGCAGTAATTGCAAACATGGTGAAGCTTGTGGCTTTTAGATATAAACCCATACAAGAAGGATAAAAAACAACATGTGCAAAGGAATGGAGTTTCAGACCCCTGCAAAAGATAATGCCAAAACATCAAATAGGAAAAATAAAGGAGAAAATGACTCAAACTTCTAACCCCCCCCCTATAAATACCTCTGTCTTCCCTTGTTTTTTATAACCTAACTTTTTTGTCAATTAAAAAAAAATCTCTTTTGCATAAAAAAAAGTAAAAAAATGGTTCAGAATCGAATAAAAATGCAATTCGATTTGGATTAAATTTTAAATTTATATAATATTATACAATAATTAAAAAAATTAAATCAAATCAAATCGATATCACTTTATATATTAAATATGTTCATAAACTAAACAATTTGTTAGATCTATGGAATTTATTAAACTTATGTCAAGTTTTGGACAAAAATATTTAAATTTAAATTCAATTCAATTTGATCTAGATATTATTTAATTAATAAAACCATTAATTAATATTTTTTAATAAAATCGAATTTATTTGAATATGACTTAATTGAACCTTGATTTTGGATGGATCAACCGATATTTATCTATTTGATGTTTATCCCTCATTTTTCCATTTTTCCCTAGCCAATACTCCAATATTGCAATATATAAAAATCCTAATTTAATTTTAAATACTAATTTATCTAACTTAAACATTTCTTATATTTTCCTGACCAGAAAAACATTTGTTATATATTCCCATAAGAAAACTATAGTATTAAGTCATTGTTAATTAATTAATGGATTAACCACTTGTATAGTCTGAAGAATAATATTGGAGGTAAAGTATTCAACTCCGCTGAATGTCCATGAGAACATTTTTTTGAAGTAAATCAATTTTCTGGGCTGTGGATATTAGAGGTGTAATCGAGCCGAATTGAGTCAATAGTGAGAAGCTCGAGCTCGACTCATAACTCGGGATTCAATATTTGACTCGAACTCGATCAAGTTTTATTTTTCAAGCTCGAGCTCGATTCGTAATCGAATTCGAGCTACTCAAGCTTGCTCGATTAAGCTCGATTAATATATAAAAATAAGCTCGATTCGTATAATCGACAAAAATTTCGATTATTCATGCTCGAATTCGAACTCAAATTCGGACTCGAAATATTTTATTAATTAAAATAATAAAAATATATTTAAATATAAAAGCTTGATTAGGTTCGTGAGCTACTCGAATCAGATATAAGAATATTTGAATTCGACTCGATCGATAAGTTAAGCTACTCGAGCTTGATTCGATAATAATCGAATCGAATTCGAGTTTTTTTCGAATCGAACCTGAATATATTGCGAGTACTAATGTATCATTTACAACTCTAATGGATACAATATTAAATGCAAAACAGTTTAATTAAATTTTTGACCACATCTTATGACGCGTGCCATAAGCTTTCTTGTGCTTCTTAAGAGAATATGTCAATTTTAATGTTCATTGGCATAATAATAATAATAATAATAATAATAATAATAATATATTTTTATTATTATTATTATTATTATATAGTTTATCACTTGACATCAAGTAAGTAATTGATAAAATGATTTAAATATGACGAGGTAACAGCACATGGGCATTGGAGTTGATCATGTCTATACGCCGTTAAACTAACGGAAAATTCCCTGGAAACAACCGTTTAAAAATGATTTAATTAACAATACCTAACTCCTTCAAATCTTCCACATTTCATCCATCTCCACCCTAGGCGCCACGAGTTTCTTTTGCTTAAAAAATACTTTGATCAGTATCTCCGTCGTAAGAACCGCCTTAAACCACCAGTTTGGGTTGAAAATCTTGTGAATTTCTTGATTTATAACTATGTCGGAAACATCTTCAAGGCCAAGAGCTGTAGTTTCCAAGCAGCCATCTCAATCAGGAGCACCAACAACGAGCATCAGCAGCAACCATGAGCCTGAAACACCAAAATGCCCATCAAGCCACCCACTTTGTCCCAACGGGCGATCTCTCAAACCTTAACAAGCACGGCAAACTTAGCCAACCTTCCTAGCGTTCCAACTCCTCGTGCCGATCTTCACCAACAACGGATCGTGTGACTCAGCTACGCGCCCCATGACGCTAGCCCCCCTCTTCTTCCTTGCCCTTTCCTGTTTTCTTGCTTCCTTCACAGACAGCGTCAAGTCATCAGATGGACAAGTTTATTATGGTTTTGCAACATTCAAAGGGATGTTCCTGTTTGACTACCCTCATCCTACAGGTTCAGACCTGCCTGATCTGAGCAAGTATAGAATCAAGTTTATTGATGGAGTCCACGGTGCTTTGTCTGTGCTTGTGTTTGGGGCTGTGGCTTTGAGGGACAAGAATGTCTTGAATTGCTTCTACCCAACACCTAAACATGAAGCTCAGGAGGCTTTGAACATTGCACCAATTGGAATTGGGCTCATTTGCAGCTTGTTATTTGTGGTTTTTCCAACCAGAAGGCATGGAATTGGCTACCCGGTCACGCCCGGCAAATAGTTATTCATTACTTTGTTCAGCTTCTCTTCTTTTTCTCTATAGTTCATTTATTTATTTATTTTCTTCAGGAATATAATAGTATCACACCAAAAAGTCAAGCATTATTTATCTTATCAATAGAATAAATTGGAATAGTTAATGCTGACTTTTTTTTTTTTATTTTAATGTTTATCATTTATATTTATTCTTAAGTTTAATTTGTTAGGAGTGGTGAATAAAATAAAATGAAACAATCAATTTAACCAATTGTATCAAAAATTGACAAAATAACCGATTCAATTACTTATGTTAAATCAATATTTATCAAACCATTTAAGAACCTAAAAAAACTTCAAACCAGTTAAGCCAAGAAAAAGCCAAACTCATTAAAAATTCAATAAATTTTAATAATAAATCTTTGCATTTAATATATTAAAAAATAACTTTAAAAAATAATATACAATTACACTTTTTCTTTCCTTAAATATTACTTTAACACTAGTTAACATCTCCTTTGTTTACTCACAAATTTTGTTATTGTCAAATGTGCTCTTAATAACAACAAATATGGAATCACATTTCACTACTAAAAACGAGTAAACTAATGTCAATTCAAATATAACAATCTTTTTTTTTTTTTTACCAAACAAAACATACTATACAAGTATCAATGTTAGTAAAAACATTTTCCTACAAACACTATACTTACTAATTTTGAGCTTATCCTCAAATGATGGGGCTTTTAGGGCGATAGAAATAAGTTGAAACCGTCAACTTCATTGGTTTACGCTCCACTTTAGCTTGAAATTCGCAAAGTTTCGTGGACATTATGCTTTGGCTTCTTGCATATAATAATCAAAAAGAGAAATTAAATAAAAACAAAAAACTTCAAAGTAAATTCAGAAGCAGGGAACATAGAGAGAATTATCGATTATGTCTAACGCCAAGGAACAAACTTCCACACAGGGACAAAGCCAGAAGAATGAAATGCTGGAAGGGCTACCATTAGAGAACAGCCCTTACCTCAAGTACCAGAATTTGGAGGATTACAAGCGCAAGGGCTACGGCACTGAAGGACACCTGGATGTTAAGGACAACCAAGGCGCAAGTGGCAGCACTGATGCCCCTACGCTTTCCGGGGCTGCCCTGGCCGATGCTAATAAGATCATCCTCATCAATGCTTCCAGAAAATAGGGCGCGGCATCGCCTGGAAAAGGAAAGAAATAGGTTGTAAATAAATATGCATATAAATATTGCTTTGATACACAAGTTAAAGGATTTAAGAAGGAAAGAAACACTGAAAAGGAAATGTAACAAATTGTGTGATATAATGGAAATGCATTTTCCTACAAACCAACTCAAGATCAAATATCATACTAAAAAATTATGCAAAACATAAACATAAAAAAAAAAAAAAGAAAAAGAAATGAAAAATAGCAATAACAACCCACATTGACGTTCTGTAACTTCAGAATCAAGTTCAACCGGTCCATTGCTAACTACCTTTCGCTTAGTCTTGCTGCAATCTGCAACAGCTATTACACAAGAAATCATGGATAAAAGAGTAAAAATGACACTAAGCCTAAACCAACTCCATACCTTCAACGTCAGGATCAATTACTAATTTCATTTTGCTAGGTTATTACAAAGGATAGCAAAAGGTTATTAAATCAACATACACATACATATTACATAGATACATAAGTTGAAGGCAGTTAACAAAGAAGTCAACAAAATGGAATGCAATAAGTTATGGCGCGTTTGTTAGCCAGAAAATGTAAAAAGGAAAAACAAAGTGTCACATGTTTCTTTTCCTGTTCAAATGCCACCATTTCTCTTCCACATAGATTTTCATCAAACAAACAAACATAATCATATCAAACAACATGGAGGTAAAACAACTGAAAAAAAAAAAAAAGAAACAAAAAAGTTTCAGTAGAAAAAAAAAAGAGAAAATGATATGAAATTTGAATAAACCAAACGGCAATATTTTTTTCACTTCCTGCTAAAACATTCAAAGCACGCTAGATATATCAATATTAATATTATCACATTTTCCTGCACTTTCTCGGCCACCAAACAGGTAATCACTAAAGGATTAAAGTCAACAGATAGAAAAAGAGAAAGAAAATTACGGCTTTGAAGAGGATGAAATTAGAATAAAATAAACGGCGGCATTTTTTCACTTCCTTCTAAAACATTCAAAGCATGCTGGGTATATCAAAATGCATATTATCACACTTTCCCGCACTTCTCGGCCATCAAACATATAAAACACGAAAAGATTAAAGTCAACAGATAGAAAAAGAGAAAGAAAGTTACAGCACTGAAGAAATTCCCTTGCAGCATTCTTTAACTTTCCAATAATCTCTTCGGACTCCCTCTCAACTCTCTCGTCCTCGTCGGCCAAGCCAAACAAGTCGAACCGCTGATGACTAGCCCTCCGACTCATTATCACACCGCCCTTCGATCACCTAATCTAATCAACTGAAAATTGAGAATTTTGTTTGGCAGAGAGAGAAAAAGCAAGGCAACGGTCAAAACGTAAAAGGAATTTCTTACCGAATTGTTAAGTGGGACCCATACCCAACTCTTCAGTTAATATATGAAACTAGTCAAAGTAACCGATTTTCTAGTGCGTGTGGTTCAAATAAAACTAGTCAAAGTAAGTTAACAAATGAAGTTTCATAAAATTGTGTTCTGTTATGTATATACTTATTCTTACTTGATTATGCGTGAATAGAAGGGACCAAATTTTCAAGCATACATGATATAAAAGCGGTGTCTTTGATTTGCTGAAAGCTCAAAAAAAAAAAAAAAAAAAACCAAGTTTACATTATATATGTTGAAAATATTGATTTTAGTTTCATTCGTACACATAATCAAATAAATAAATTTATAAGCGTATGATTAAAGTTTTTTATTAAAAGTAAAATCGAACTTTCTAAAGATCTGAAAAACCTTAAAACTTTTCATATATGCATTTTGAAAAGACTTAAAATATTTTAAAAATGAATATCCGAGAACATTTCAATTTTCTTGAAAAATAAATATTTGAGAATCTTTTAAGTTTTTTAAAAATAAATATTCGAGAATTCTTAAAATTTTTTAGATATTTATTTCCAAGAAGTTTTAAAGGTTTTAGAATATAAAAAGAGACAAAAGATAAGAATGAAAAATAAAAAATGAGAAGTAAAATATATTTAGTAGAAATAAAAAATTAAATTTTGAATTTAAGATATATATAAAAATAGGGTATATATAGCATTAAAGGGAATGCAAATAAAATTCCCCAATTTTGAAATCATAGTTCGACCGTCAATAATTTTGAAATCCTCTACACCCTCACCCTCAAAATGACCACGTCACATAAATCCATCCTTCTTTTGAGAACCCTTATAGCCCAAAAAACCCAAACCCGAGCCATGTCGTACATGCCCCGACCACGAAACAGGGCCCCAAGAACCATGAACCTAATCCTAAGTGATGGAATCAAACCAATAGTGACGAATGCGATGGAACAAGTGATGGAAGCAATGCACACCCCAATTTACTTCAAGAAGTACGAAGTTCACGGTAACATGACATGGATGCCATAGGATTGCCAATCAGACATGAAAACATGGATATCATAGTATTCATGGAGAACACTAAAGGGGAATACTTCGGCCTTAAACATGAGGTTGTGCCTTATGTTGTTGAGAGCCTTAAGGCAAGTAACCAAGTATAATTGAATTGTTTTTTGTGTGAAATTTTGAAGATTTTTTTATTAGGTAATTTGGCTATTCTTTGGTGTAATGGATAACAAAGTTTTATTTAAGCAGATTGTAAATTAAGTATGCATTTGAATATGCTTATCTAAGCAATCAAAAGAAGGATATTGCTGTTCATAAGGCCAACATTATGAAACTGGCTAATTGGTTGTTTTTGAAGTCTTGCCAAGAAATGGCAACTAAATAACCAAGTATCAAGTATAATGAAATTATTGTGGAGAATTATTGTACGTAGCTTGTTTCGATGGCATATGAATTTGTAATTTTTTTTATTATAATTTATCTTTTAATATGAACTCCTTGGTCGCTTCTTGGCTTAGTGGTCATTGATGTTTACACTTGATATCATATATGTAATTAAGTTGGTGTCTTCACCTTTTTCATGCAGATATATGACACTTGTAAAATCATTAAGACACTTATTAGAAAATGATCCTTTTAAAGGTCTTTTTTTTTTAGTGTGTGTGACATTACTTAGCCTTGTGATGTTTTTAGGTATATTCTTGTTATGATATGTACAAGGTCTTAAACTAGTTCAACATGAGAATAGAGAAAGTCAGAGATTATAAATTTTCTTGATCTTGAATTAGTAACTTTCACTTTTTGACATCTTTGTTATAGGTCACAATTATTATTAAAAGAAAAAAAATGTACATCTCAATCCTTACAAATAGTAAAAAGTATCTTGAAAAAAAATTTCCCAAGCTAAAAGAAAAAAAATCATATATATAAGTGATACCCACTTGCATCTTTTTATAATCGAATTTTTAATAACATAGAATAAACTTTTCTCTTTATAATTGAATTTTTAACAATACAAAATAAACTTTTCTCTATCTCTCTGCATCTTTAATAGGTTTATCAAGAAGTATGCCTCTCTACGTTGACCAATCAACCACTTTTTTTTTTCTTCAAATAATGGCCAAATCAAAAAGCAAAGGAGAATAGGGTTCTTGTCACTTTGGCTGGAGCAAGGTTAAAGTTATAATACTTAAGAAAAGAAGTAGAAAAGAAGATAACCATCATCATTCTCGTTATTCCAATAGAGAATGGACACGTACCAAAATAATTATCTTAGTTTTTGTTCTCTTGGTAATATTGTTTCTTGTACTCATTTTTTTCTATCTTATGTTTTCCCAATAGTGATGTGTGATTTGTTTTGTTAGTGCTAATATAGGTTTTCATCGTTTTTTTGCATGTGTTTTCTTTCTCTTGCTTTAGTCCTTTGTGATTTGTTTTGTTAGTGCT